AGAGTCCAACCAGAGCCCAGCCAGAGTCCAATAAGAGTCCAATCAGAGTCCAATCAGATTCCAATCCGAGTCCATCCAGAGTCCAGCCAGAGTTCAATCAGAATCCAACCAGAGTCCAATCTGAGTCCATCCAGAGTCCAATCTGAGTCCATCCATAGTCCATCAAGTGTCCAACCAGAGCTCAGACAGAGTCCAATCAGAGTCCAGTCCAATTCCATCCAGAGTCCAATAAGAGTCCAATCAGAGTCCAATCCAAGTCCATCCAGAGTCCAGCCAGAATCCAATCAGTCCAACCAGAGTCCATCCACAGTACAGACAGAGTCCAGACAGAGTCCAATCAGTCCAACCAGAGTCCAATCAGAGTCCAGCCAAAGTCAAATCAGAATCAACCATTCCAATCTGAGTCCAGCCAGAGTCCAATAAGAGTCCAGCGTCCAATCCGTTTCCAATTAGTGTAACAAGAATCTACCCAGAGTCCATCCAGAGTCCAGTCAGAGCCCATCCAGAGTCCAATCAGAGTCCAACCATAGTCTAGCCACTGTCCAGCCACAGTCCAATCAGAGTCCAACCAGAGTCCAAGAAGAGTCCAATCAGAGTCCAGCCACAATCCAATAAGAGTCCAACCAGAGTCCAACCAGAGTCCAGCCAGAGCCCATCCAGAGTCCAATAAGAGTCAAATCAGAGTCCAACCAGAGTCCATCCAGAGTCCAACCAGAGTCCATCCAGAGTCCAATCAGAGTCAAATCAGAGTCCAGCCATAGTCCATCCATAGTCCAATCAGAGTCCATACAGAGTCCAACCAGAGTCCACCCAGAGTCAAACCACACCAGATCAACTATCAGTCTGTTAGCAAAATATTTCATGGACCACTGAATGACTTCAGGACATAATCACTGGATCTATGTCTACAAATGATTCACTTTTAATTCAACCCAATTCAAGATGGCCACCACAGCCAGCTGACCTTAGAAATAAATTATATAAATCTGGGACTCAGTCAGATTTACAAATATGAATTAGGTGTGATAGTAGCTGAGAGTCATTCACTGGGGAGTGGTGGTGCAGAGGTTAGAGAAGGTGGACCTGTGATCGGAAGATCGCTGGTTCAACTCCCGGTACCGACACTATCAAAATGTGAGTGGGTGGGATTGGTGAAACACCCACACCTGTCTCCGCCCTCATTTGCTCCACACTGGGCCCTTGAACAAGGCCCTTAACCAACACATCTGCTCCCCTGGGTGTCCTAGATAGCAGCTCTCTGCTCCACACATAGGGCTGTGGTAGCTCGGTGTCTGTGGTTGCTTCAGGAAGGGCATCCGGTGTAAAAATAACTGCCATGTCTTTGTGCAACGTTCACTGTGGTGACCCCTGAAGAAAGGAGCAGCCGAAAGAAAAAAATAAAAGTAGCTGAGAGTCATTCACACAACACACTCTGAGTCACATGAAATCACACCTCGTGTAGTTTTGAAGGTTTCGCCAAAGAACAAACAAACAAACTCTGACGTCATCCTGAGATGATCTCAGTCTGAAGCGTGGCAATGAAAGGCAGCGGGTGATATACAATTAAAGACAGCGGGTGATATGCAATGAAAGATAGCGGGTGATATACAATTAAAGACAGCGGGTGATATGCAATGAAAGGCAGCGGGTGATATGCAATGAAAGGCAGAGGGTGATATACAATTAAAGACAGCGGGTGATATGCTTCTTCCAGTTCTTCCTCCGATTTTATCCTCAAATGGTGTCCCCATTGAGTTTGTTGATTCCTATAAATATTTGAGTATCTTGGTCGACTCTCATCTCTCTTTTAAGCTCCATGTGGAAAACTTGGTAAAGAAACTGAAAGTTAAACTGGGTTTCTTTTTCAGAAACAGATCCTGTCTAACCCTGAATGCTAGAAAACACCTTGTATCTGTGACTTTCCTTCCCTCCGTTGATTACGGTGACATTATTTACATGAACGCTCCTACAAGAACCCTGCAGATGTTGGATGCTGCAGATGTTGGATGCTGTTTATCATGGTGCACTAAGATTCATAACTGGCTGTAACTACCGTACCCACCACTGCACCCAGTATCCACTGGTTAACTGGACATCATTAACTTCACGCAGACTCTCCCACTGGTACATTTTCATCTTTAAATCACTTCCTGGTCTGCTGCCTTCATACATCTCCTCCTACATGTCTCTGTGTGAGTGCAGCTACAGCGTGCGCTCTCAGGACATCATTACCTGCAGTGTTCCCTCAGTGAGGACTGAACTAGACAAAAGGACCTTCTCCTACTCCGCTCCTGTTTCCTGGAATATCTTACAAAAAGATTTGAAGCTCTCGACCTTGACCTCTCTAAGTGGCTTTAAGAATCTGTTGGACTCCTGGCAGGGACCAATGCAGACATGTTCCTGTTTTTAGTTTCTACATTTGTCTTGGAATCTAGCTGTTTGTTTTTTTTGTTTTGTTACCTTTTTCCTTTTAGCCATCCTATTTGTTAAAATAAAAAAAATAAAAAAATAAATAAAAAAACTGTAGTATGAGTTTTTATAACTGCTTATTGTTGTTGCTGTTGTCCATTGTTGTCATCTTTCTTTGTTGAAATCAGGTCTCTCTTGTAAATGAGTCCTCGAGGCTCAATGGGATTTACCTGTATAAATAAAGGTTGATTGATATGCAATGAAAGGCAGCGGGTGATATACAATTAAAGACAGCGGGTGATATGCAATGAAAGATAGCGAGTGATCTGCATTCTGTAATGGACTGTTTGGCCTTGAATTATTTAGAGGAATGTCAAAGTGAATGTCCAGTGACCGTGCAGCACGTGTCCCAGTTTATGGTTTGAAAACACACACACACACACACACAGCTGTGCACTCCATTATGATGTGCCTCTGATTAAGGCTGTGCCCTGCAGTCGTGTAACGAAGAGCCAATTAAAAAGCCAATTAGGGTTGTTGGTAATAAAAGAGGCTGAGTCAGTCGTCGAGCTCCCACAGTCACACCAAATGTACACTGTTTCTCCAACTGTGTCCTGAAACCAGTTCTGCTTTCAATGAGACTGCATATCACCCCATCCTCATCTGAGGTCACAGCCATTTTGGAACAAAGCTTGACAGGTACATCAGAGAGTGGCAGTTTTTAGGCAGGCTGTGATTTAGCTCAATGTCTGTGAGATTAACTCAATTTTAGCCATTGTTGTGTGTTTTTATGAATCCAGGTGACTGTGGCAGCCATCTTGACAGTTGTAGATGTACATTCAAAATTTACTTTCTGCAAGTTTCATTGAACTTTGTTCATGAGTTTTTTATATATTTTGCTAACAGAGAGACACAAATATAGCTTTAAAAAGTGTTCGCTCCCCTTTGAGATATGTGTCATAAATCAGTCATGGTTTATGTAGTTTGGCAAACCATCAGATGGCTGAGGAGGGGAAAGCAGCACTTTACTAACACTGTGTTCAGTGAAGGTGGGCTGCTGTTGACCTCAACCAGTGATGTTGTCGGGAGGTGGAAGGAATACTTCTTGGACCTTCTCAATCCCACCATTCATTCAACCACCAGTATGTCTTCCATGGAGGAAGCAGAGTCGAAGGGACTTTGGGGTTGATCCGTCCATAACCGTGGCTGAGGTCGCCGAGGTAGTTAAAAAGCTTAGAGGCAGCAGGGCTCTGGGAGTGGACAAGATTTTCCCTGATTTCCTTAAGGCTCTGGATGTTGGGGGGCTGTCCTGGCTGACACACCTTTGCAACGTAGCGTGGACATCTGGGGCAGTGCCACTAGATTGGCAGACTGGGGTGGTGGTCCCCCTCTTCAAAAAGGGGGACCAGAGGGTGTGCTCCAATTATAGGGGCATCACTCTCATTAGCCTCCCTGGTAAGATCCATTCAGGGTACTGGAGAAGTGAGTCCAATCATTGGTTGAACCTCAGATCCAGGAGGAACAATGTGGGTTCTGTCCTGGTCATGGAACACTGGGCCTGCTCTTTACCCTAACTAGGGTCCTCGAGAGGTCATGGGAGTTTGCCCATCCAGTCTACATGTGTTTTGTGGACTTGAAGAAGGTATTCGACTGTGCTCCTTGGGGTACACTGTGTGTGTGTGTGTGTGTGTGGGGGGGGGGGGGGGGGTGCTGGGCGGTGGGGGGGGGGGGAGTAGGAGCCCATTGTTAACGGGCTATTCAGTCCCTATACAAGCGGTGCGAGAGTTTGGTTCTCATTGCCGGCAGTAAGTCGGACCCCTTCAGGGTGGGAGTTGGACCTCCAGGGCTGCCCATTGTCACCGATTCTGTTCATAACTTTTATGGACAGAATTTCTTGGTGCAGCCATGGGGCGGAGGGTTTCCGATTCGTTGGCCTCAGGATTCCATCTCTGCTCTTTGCAGATGATGTGGTCCTGTTGGCGTCATCATGCTGTGATCTTCAGCTCTCACTGAAGCGGTTCACAGCCAAGTGTGAAGCGGCTGGGATGAGAATCAGCACCTCCAAATCTGAGGCCATGGTCCTCAACCAGAAAAGGGTGGATTGCTCTCTTCAGGTTGAGGGTGAGGTTCTACCTCAGGTGGAGGATTTCAAGTATCTCGGGGTTTTTTTCATGAGTAAGGGAAGAATGAAGCGTGAGAGTGTCAGACCAATTGGTGCAGCATCTTCAGTATTGTGGACTCTACCGGTCCATTGTGGTGAAGAGAGCTGAGCTGTAAGACAAAGCTCTCTGTTTACCGGTCGGTCTACGTTCCTCCCCTCACCTCTGGTCATGAACTCTGGTTAGAGACCAAAATAATGAGATTGTGGATACAGGAAGTTGAAATGAGTTTCTTCTGCAGGGTAGCTGGACTCTCCCTTAGAGACAGGCTGAGAAGTTCAGTTATCAGGAGAGACTCGGAGGAGAACCAGCAGTCACATGCTGAAGTGTCCCTGGGCAAAACACTGAACCCCTCATTTCCTCTGATGTGTGTTCCGTCAGTGTATGAATGTGATCTAAAGATCTGATTAGTCTTTGTAGAGATCTAGTAGTGGAGGTAAATGAGGACAAAGAATATAAGATCTTTGAGTTTCTTAATTACACAGAAAGGTTCTGTGTAAATACAGTCCGTTCCTGATGGTCACCTGCTTCAGCATCTCCTTCTGTGTTTTTGCAGGGACCTTCTGCATCATCTCCCTGTGTACCTGCGTTGCTGGCATTAACTTTGAGCTGTCCCGTTACCCGCGGTACCTGTACGGCCTGCCAGACGACATCGGCCACGGCTACGGCTGGTCCATGTTTTGTGCCTGGGGAGGCCTTGGCCTCACCCTCATTGCTGGTTTCTTTTGCACCCTGGCTCCCTCTGTCCAGCCAATACCCAGATCCACCTGCCCCAAATCCCGGCAAGAAAATGGCACCGTCTGCTAAAGCTGGCAACAACAAGAAGACCAACCGAAGCCGCCAGTGGATCACAAACAGGAAATAAAGTGTTCCATGTTCTCATCCATCTGATCATCTCCACTGTGTCCTGGTTCAGTTTGTTTTTATGTGTTTGAGTGTTTCAATGATCGGTTATCTTAAAAATACAAGAGCAAACTCAAGAACTTAAGAAATCCTGTTGAAGACAAAAGTCTAACCCGTGCTTGTTTTGTTGTTGTGGAGCAGATGCTGAACTGGACCATGGACTGTCCAAAGGGTTTACACAATGAAGGACAAAGAGTGTGTAGCCCTGAGTCTGGATCGAAACGTTCAGGTGGACATTGGTGTTCAGACAGAACACTTCTGAGAACTGGCCCAGTGTGGTTCTGTCAAGAGAGGAACAATCAGGTTGTTGAGGTCCACTAAAGATCTCAGGGAGGTTCTTCAAAGACCTGTCAGACAGTTCGCAGGACTGGACAGAACCTTGTGGGTTCATGGTTGTTGGACATGAGTGGATGTGAAATATTACTGCCTGTGCTCTGTTCAGTCCCGTGGAACGGGCGAGCAGTGAGGAGATCCACGGCCTCCACCATTCTACATGTTTGTACAGAACCAAAACAACAACCAGAACTCAATCATCTTGATTCCTGTGTAGGTGTTTTCAGCTCCATCTGAAGATCCTACAAGCCATTCAGCATTTTATACTTTTTTTATTCATTGTGTATTTGGTGTTTTATTGAACCTTCATGTTGATCGAGTGTTCATTCAGTGCAAAGGTTATGGACTGGTTCCGCTCATACTGGTGTGTGTGTGGGTATAATGGGGAACCGATTTGAAGTCTTTGTAGAAAAATATAAAATTAAAAGCACTAGAAGAAAGCGAAGCCCCAGAATGATGGTGAAGAAACTAGTTTTTGGAGATCAGGGACACCTTGTTCAGATCAGTACCCTGCTGGACTCCAGGCTCCTGGATGACGACCTTGTTAAGATCCAAACACGACAGAACATGCACAGATGACATCACAGAACCATCTCGTCCCAACTGAGCCTTTGATTAGTTTATTGTGAAGGGCCCCAACATCTGTCATCTACAGTGAATGGCCCCAACATCTGTCATCCACAGTGAAGGACCCCAACATCTGTCATCTACAGTGAATGGCCCCAACATCTGTCATCTGTAGTGAAGGGCCCCAACATCTGTCATCCACAGTGAAGGACCCCAGCATCTGTCATCCACAGTGAAGGACCCCAGCATCTGTCATCCACAGTGAAGGGCCCCAACATCTGTCATCTGTAGTGAAGGGCCCCAACATCTGTCATCCACAGTGAAGGGCCCCAGCATCTGTCATCCACAGTGAAGGGCCCCAGCATCTGTCATCCACAGTGAAGGGCCCCAACATCTGTCATCCACAGTGAAGGGCCCCAGCATCTGTCATCTACAGTGAATGGCCCCAACATCTGTCATCTACAGTGAATGGCCCCAACATCTGTCATCCACAGTGAAGGACCCCAGCATCTGTCATCTATAGTGAAGG